AAGCAATGGAATTTTTCAGTTCAATCAACCATCACCTGTGCAGAAATCCGAAATTTAATTTCCGTTGACCATGGAACTAAATACTGTATTTTACATTTGCTTTTGTTTTGATATTTTTTTGTTTTACAAATAAATTTGGTTTGGTTTTCAAATATAGATACGACGAGGTCCCCGCGAAAGGACGAAGAGAACGGGAAGCAATACTACTTTGTGTCGCATGACGAAATGATGGCGGACATTGCGGCCAACGAGTACTTGGAGTACGGGACCCACGAGGACGCCATGTATGGTACCAAGCTGGAGACCATCCGGCGGATCCACGCGGAAGGCAAAGTGGCCATTTTGGACGTGGAACCACAGGCCCTGAAGGTCCTCCGCACAGCGGAATTTGCTCCCTATGTCGTGTTCATTGCTGCTCCTCAACTGGCGCATGTGCCTGATGTGAGTATAATACTGTACAACAGTACAGTACTGTACTGTACTATGTTCTGTAATACTGTACTGTGTATATCAGATACTGATGTATACCAGTGTTCCCCAACCTTTCTGGTCCCATACGTGGACCGGCAAATTTTCAGAAAACTTTTTAGGGGGGGGGGGGGGAAATTTCCTTACATTTTTTTTTTTTGCATACTGGCAAAGTTTCATAAAATGTTTGCAGGCTAAAAAAAAAACTTGATTTTATGGCAGGTATTTAAAAATTGCATGTGTTTTTGCAAAAATCAAGTCAAGAACCAATGAAGCAGCTATTATTGTGAAATGTCTTGCAAAAAAATTAAAAAGATGGGTTTAAAGAAAGGTTGCTCAGGATAAAAATGAGTATCAATTTCAGCAGGTGAAAGTTTGTCTGAAGCCTTTTTAGGCAAAAAGCCATCTTTTATTTCTTATCAAAATTTCAGATGAAGAAAACAGACTGCATTGCTACTTTTGATGCATTTTATTATGCCAAAGAATATTTCCCACAGACTGGCAAATATGTTGTGCATACCATGGAACACAGTAGAGTATAAGTGTGCAGGTGGTACTTTGCAATTCAACTCTAATCCCTGCTAGACCAGGGTCAAATGTCAAAGCAGTTGAATTGCAAGACACTGTAAAATTGAGA